GCTCCGGCCGCCTTCATAGTGACCTGATTTATGACGTGATCACTTGAGAACAGATAGGAGTTGTGAAGGAGTTATCAACTGCAGAAAAAATGGAAATGATAATCAATAACTATGTGTGTGCTCAATCAATTTTTGGCAGTCCTCTAGTGTATGATGGCGGAATGAACTTGTGACAGCAATGGATGCTGCGCTCGTGGGTGCGGCAATCCAATACCCTGCGATGACAGTAAGCTGTGAGAAAGTCCCTGAAAAATTGATTATCACCAGTAGGAAACGTATGAACTCAAAAATCGGTGTGTGGAAAGTTCGAGGAAAGTTACACTTGAGCGTGCGGTCGAGAAACGACTGGGGGCTCTTTGGCTTACTCAGGCACGATAAAGCTTCGATGAACTCTATCCAGGACAGAAGGCGGAGTAGCTGGAGGGGTACGGTGCGATTGCTTGGTGAAGGCTTGGAAGATCTTGCTGCTACAAGAATTCCAAGTCGTCACCTGGACCCTACTATCACCAGCCTTGGACCCACCACCAACACATTTTCCTGCTTCTGCGCACCCGCCCGACACTCGCTGAGAAACCGTTAATAAACCTACCCAAGGAAGAGCTGCAGGGCAATCCTTTCTTGGGTCAGCACTATGCCTAGAATGGCAGGCCTCTAAAAACGGTGATCTGCGAAGCCAACTGATACAGAATCCTACCGAACATGATATCAACCAACCGAACCCGTAGGGAAAGAGAGCTTCACTAACTTGGGCGAAAATGCAGCCGGGCTTCAATCTCATTACCGTGTGCCTACTATTTTGCGCCACTGCCACTACCCAACTTGCCGACCATACCGAAATGTATTTGATGTTACGCGTCAAGGGGTACCCGACAGGAGGCCCGGCGTGAAGGAAGAGTCAGCGTACGAGTCGCCGCGCGCACAGGAGTGATTTAGATGCACCACTACTACTACGTGCTACGACTCGTCCACCGAGTTCGCCGTCGCGTGGAAAGGAGGCAGGGTCAGCGGGTGAGTCGCAGCGCGTGACGTGCAGTGTAGGACGTGCAGTGCTACATTCTATTCGCGCCACAGTGCGCGCCACAGCCTGTCTGCTGGCTCCGCCTTCTTGCCGAGCGACGGGCCTCTTGTCGTGTACCTCGCATCAAATTGAAAGAATCCTTCTCAAACTCTGCGTGGCGTAAAAACGACTTATTAAGAGAACTATTATAACCTATTGATTCACGAGCACTTGTGATACAATGGATCGAGTTAGCCAACTGCCCGATGGGTCAAAGCCGTGGGTACAATAATTTCACTTTTTATGGATCTGTTAGGACAACAGAGAGGAAAGGCCTTGAGCAGAACCAATATGGACTAGCGTTTTTATAAGTCCCCTCCCTATGAAGCTTTCGTGCATGTATATGTAAGAAGAAATAATGTTGCGATAGAAATAAATAAATGTAAGTTACTACGACACGTACGTGCTGGAAGTTAAGTCCACTGGCTGGATGGCTTGAGACAGTGGGCAATGACTGAGTGACGCCCTGCAGTGAAGGTGACAACCCAGCAAGGTTGAGATGTCCGTTCTGGAGCTGAATGGCATAGTATTACAAATCGATGCCTAACAGGGCTCAGAACTGTGCGGAGTACATTGCTCCCTCACTAAAAAGAACGTCACTTACCGCATTGGACTGCGCTGCCAACTGAGCATCAACTTGTGCCTTCGCTTCGGCTTCGGCTCGAGCTTTCATTGCGTGAGATTTCATGTGAGCGTTGAGTGACTGAAACATGGAGGATCAGAGAAAAAAGAAACAATGGTGTTCCCCTGGGAACAATGGGAAAATGGGAATCCCAATAAACATGAGAAGAGCTGCAAAAGAGAGCAAAATAAAGGGAAAACAAATGCGGAACGTCACACTAACCTTGACCTTCTCAAAGCATTTATCGCACAACCGACAATGGAAGAAACCGTCGGCACTCGGCTGCGCGCCTTTCTTGCTGCCGGATGACGGTTGGGAGCGAGGCGCCGACTATAAACGGCCGAATGAAGTGGCGAAAAAAATAAGTGTTTTAAAATAGTGTCTAACCGGTTGATAGTTTCGTTGCAATCCAGAAAGGTCCTTCAGGGGCGGTGATGGTCGAAGGCCTAACAATGACTGCGAAATTGATGACGAGGATGGCAGTGATGGTACATCCACGAAGCGGTGACATAGCAACATTCGTCTGGGAAAGGCTGAAATAGAAGGAAATAGAAGAAGTTCATCGAGACAAATTCGGAAAATCGATGAGAACTCACAAACTGCCAGTTCGCCCTCTCATCTCGAAGATGTCCTGGCCGCAGTAGGACGGAGCAGTCGTGTCGGATTCGGCATCGGATGACACATTTTCGTCGACGGGAGCCAACTTGGCGGGCGTACCCTCGTCCATCTAAAGGGATATTGATAATTAAGAAAACAATGTAAAATTAATCTTTCGGCAACAGTTCTTTTTGCAGCGGTGATATGAAAGGTGCTAGAAGGAAGCTCGGGCCATACTTCCCTCAGAAAACTCCCAAGCAGTCGAGGTTTGACGGCGGAATCCGATGTTTCACGCTTGCAAAATCCCTTGCGCTCACTGAGGAGGGAAAAGGGGGAGGTAGGGTGACAAGGCGGATTAAACCGCTTAGCTAAGTCCACACATAGGTAATTAGTAATAACTGGGCGCTAATGCCATACTTCAAGGTTTATGAAGGGAAGAGCGGCAGAATCACAGAGTATTCCCAAAACGCTGTACATTGGCAGGTGCCGTGAACGATGTAACAGTTCAGACATCGTCATCTAGGAAGCAGAGCAACGAGATACAATTCAAACCGCATCGCACGATCCCCAGTGGATTATTATTAAAAGGGTGCTTAGGTGGTAAGAAATATGGTTTGTGGGAGTTGATTCGGCAGAAGCAATGCAGAATCGTTACCATTAGGTCACAAATGCTGTCACCTCCCAAGCCTCTGCTCTCAGCGCCAAAGTTCGCCCTGACCTCACGAAAGGCGCTTGCGTATCGCTTGTCTTCCCGTAACACCCCTCATCCCCCCAAAACTAACGTCTGTTTCCGCGTCCCGGCGTCCCGAATTTGTGTTGTACTTAGCCCATATATTCTCGGAATCAACTTGAAAGCAGGGGTTTGTCATTGAGTAAGGATTCTTTACTTTTGCTCACAAAATGGGCTCCTTTGTTTATATCTCCATTTTTGAATCTATTTTTACCAAAAAAATTCCGCGAAATTCTCAAAGGAATGGAGCGGTGACTATCGCAGTGACTCTGCACGCCTACCTGTTGCAGATTTAATTCCAGCAATTGCCGTTTTCGTCGGAGGATTTCTCAGTTTACGGTAATCGTCAGGGCAGGCCTTCTTCCAGGTGTAGTAAAATTCGACGCATTCTCGAACCGTCTTGCTCGGCAACTGAAATGGTGCAGAGATCAAAAATCCGCCACGTTCAGATCAACCGACAGTATTCCTACAGTATGCTGCCTTACCTCTTGCGCAACTTGATGAAAATCTTTTTCGGTTTTGTAGATGGCATCTTGGAACGCATTCACTTCCTCAGGGGTCCAGCCGGCCGAGTCCACATAATTTGAGCCGTAGATCACCTGATACTGTTCCCAGTCCAAGGTATCAGAGCGCAACAAATCCGCAACAGCTGCTTCAATATTGCCCTTATTCTCCATCAGCAAGTGCAACGCTAATTCCTGAAGTAAGAAATCGAGAAACTTCAGAACCAAATACTTTATGGAAAGCATTGTTCGAGCTGACCTTATTTTTGCCAGGTCTCGGTATTGCTTGGCTGCATGCCAACAGCTCGAACGCTTCAACTAAACATGATTTCTTGAGGATCTGTACTATGGCTGAAAATCAATAAAATCGATAACACTAACTCTGGTCTTTTTCGATATCTCGCAGCACGTCCGGTGAAAACACCATCTCGTCACGATCCTCAATAGCTTCGAGCTCTGACTCATGAATCTGAAACTAACAGCATTCTACCGTGATTTCATTAAAATACAGTACCTGTCTACATATATACCGTATTCCGGAGATTTGCGAATAATATAAAAGTAAATCAAACTTTATAAAAAGAGAGTACATCATATTGTTGAATGAGTCCCAAAAGTTCTTCCTCTTCATCGTCACCACTTCTACGAAATCTTATACCATGCCCATTCCACCTAAGGGGGTACGAAGTACGGCTCCCTCCCTTCCTCTCCCTAAAACTGCTCCGCGATAAAACTACCAAGCGAACGGTCAACTCTAAAGGATAGCTCTCTTCTCTGCGAAACAGAAACATGACCACACACAATTTTTGAAAATCAGCAAGGTCGCTGGTTGATTTGTGAGGACGCTTAGTCACTGCTTTTTTAAGGCTATGAAAATGAATATAAACTCTCTTTTATCAGAGTTTGAAGTAGAGCTGGGCTTTTCCCCATTGGAGCCAGCCTCTAAACTTGGTGACTTTTACAAGAATTACCTTCATAACTTTAAAGGGGATGGTGGGAGTGTTGGAAAAAATAGCCCACTGAAAGCGCTCAGTCGTCGCTCACTTATTTCGAATTTAAACACTTATATCTATAGAAATCCGCCAGCTTTTCTTTCCAGAATCTTTGATCTAATAAGGGTTTGCTATAGTATTACTTGATATGTAATTTCCATTCCCTCAGTGGCATGTTGCCGTTTTAAAGACTTTTGAATGTCCTTTTCTATTTTCCGTGAATACTGTTGCCCGACGCAAGAGTAATAGACAGTAAAAGCGCAGCATGTCAGTATTTAAACTAAAGCTAAAGCAAACAGCAAACTTTATTTTCCTAAGGAATCGCTTTCCATGGGCGGCTAGAAATGAACCGCCCCATCTTAGTTGCAGAACCGGCAAAGCGTTTATCACTGATAACTGACTTTCTCGTTCAAGAGTAATCTATCCCCAGAAATTCAGAAAAAATCAATGTGAAACCTTTTATTCATGTCGCAATCACCTCACTCTTCCTGTAACTCTGCACTGCAGAGACAGGGAATTGAAGTTGTAAATTAGGGCTTGCATTAGAAGTTGATGGCATATTTAGTGTTTTGCATACTTTCACTTGCAGGCAGCTAATGGATGAGGAGAGCACAAGGGGATCGCGCTCACTTCTGGGAAAGAGCGCAAAAATCTGCTTGCGCTAAGTGCACTTTTTTGTCCAGTTACCCCTGCACGTTTTGTTTTGCTGTGAAGAGTCCTTCAAAAACGCTACGAAGCTACGAGAGCGAGAAAAACGAAAGAAAAAGGAATTTTTTTTTATAAAAACGTTGCGAGCTCAGATGGTCACACACAACGGTCCACTAGATGCGAAAAGAAGGTTAACGAATTGAATACTAAGCTGACAGAAGAAGGTGGATACGGGCATATGGGGCAACGAATGAGAAGCTAACATAATTCGACAAGATTTTAAAAATTTAAAATTTTCATAGACAGCAGGTAATATTGGTGAAAATGTGCAAAAATGCGGAACAAACAGGTTGACCCACCTAGCTTCCAAATTACCAAAGGCAAACATTTTCCTTATTCGTATTATATTTTTCTGAGCCTGCTACGGTTCTACTCACAAAATCGAGTGCTGCCGTGATTTGCATGAACCCATTCTTTACTGCGCTCTTTGAATGCAGCGAACAAGCAAATTAATTAAACAAATTTCATGAAGCGAATGAAAAGAAAATCGATACGCATTATTTCTAGTTCTTTTTTGAGCTCCATGGCAGCGGATGATCTATACAAAGTTCAATAAGTGGCAAAAGAGAAAGCCGCTAAGAAAAGAACATCAAGATAAGAGAATAAACAAGAAAAAGTATGGAAAAGCGGTTGAGAAAGAAATAAAAAAATAATTTCCGAAAATAGTCATGGTAGAAGCTGGTAAGGAAGAAAAAGATATGATCACTTATCTCCCCTATTGTCTTTTACATTTTCAGTTGATAAAAAAACCGAAAAATTCAATTCATCTATTTCGCTATGATTTTTTCTCAAGAATGTGTAGCAAGCTCAAAAGCTGGGCTAAGATGAAGCGGTTCCTTAGGCAAAGGGGTGCCAGAGGTGAGATTATGATTCCCTTATGGAGCAAGGAGTTTTCCGCATAAGCCTAGAATTACTGGGATAATATTCAAACCGGGTTCAAAATACGCATAGTAACTTGTCATTTTGAAGAATATACTAGAAAAATAACAAAAATTAGAAATAACTACGGAATCGAGTTAAGCATAGAACTTATCAATGGTGAAAGTGATGTATATCATGCTTGAATAAACAAAAACTTGCGAAGAAGAGAAAAGATTAAAAAAGCTCACCTTTCGATCGTTCCATTTTCGTACGCGAGCCTGATATTCTCGACCAATGTTGATGTGCCTGTGACAAAAATCGATATATCGATTTCCGGTAGGATATCCAAAATTATGTACATCAATACTTACGGAACGGCATCGCTCATTTTAGGCCTCGTATCGATCGGAAGATCGTAGTAACAGTCCGATATGCATGATGCTTTGCGAAGATACTCATCCGGATCCATTGAATGTTTTCGGAGAATTTCCTCAGCTGATCTGCAGAAATGTACGGTCAACACGTTATTCGAGCGCAAAAAAATCAATAATAAAAATCGATTAACCTTGTTGACGACGACGTTGACGCCCATGAAATCTTACGTAGCGCCTCGAGTTCATCAGCGAATGTGGCCTGAAAAAAAGACAATCCCGTTGCATATCGATCGATTTTATCTGATACCGTACCTGACTACAAATGAAGCCGTTTTTTCGTGCAGGATGCACTACCTCGGTGGAGGTCGTTGCAGTGACATCCGTACTGTTGGTGTCGCTCGGTCCAGCTCCTTCGTCGACAATTCGCAGGCCAGGCGAATCGACGCTCATCTCTTGATCTTCTGCAACAGTGAGCTAGAGACCGCTGCCCATTTAAATGGCAGAGAGGTGCCCAGCTTCATTTCCATTTCAAAAGATCGAGAAACTCTTGCTGGTGGCGGTGAGAATTTTCCCTTATCGGCGGGGTGCGCTCGCTATTTGCAGCGTTTTTAGTCATGAATTGAATTGATAAGGTGCAAAATTCAGCTAGCGCTGCAAATTTGAAATGGGGGTGACTAGTAATTCTTGACGACCTACGGACCCGACTGGGAAATAAAAAGACCCATTGAAGAAAACATCCCGTTTCTATGGCCACAGCATCCATACGATCAAATTATGTTTGATGGGACCGCTATTTTCAGCCGAAATAAAACAAGAATTTATTGGTCTTACATAAGAACTGAGAGGGCTGATGTGTGCCTTCGGGAATGAAAGTGTCATATTGAACGCTCGCAATACGGCCTGGCGCTAAATTGCTGGCACACCGACGGCGCGCTTTCCCCGGAAGGGTTAAGAGTTCTAAGTTCGACGAAGAAAGACGAGGAAGATTCTGGCCATATAAACGAACGGAAAGATATGGTTAATTAAAGGAGGAATTCACGATTAGAATGGAGGTCGAAGGAAAAGTAATTGACCTAGTTGAGGGACCCACGGACCTCCTGAGGGTGCGAACTGATGCGCAATTCGCATCGAAAAATTTGACCTCGGCGACCTATCATGCCTCAAAGCTGGCGGGTCCGGCGATCTCCGCCCACCGACCATCTGATCACTCGCCGCAGTTCTATACGTGGCGAGTGATTAGATAGCAGAGAGAGCGTAGTGTTGAAGAGGGCACAGCGATGAGAGTCGCATCAATGCTCAAATCAACGGGCAAGGAAGGGGTCCCATTTCTCGGGTTCTGGGCCGTTTCTCATGGTTCTTCCTTCTTTCGTGTACCACTCACCATCCCTAGGTTAATTTGAAATGGGTTGCTTTTTCAGCGTGAATTCGTCCTTTCAAACAAACATTGAATATTGTCAAAAATGTTGTTTTATTGTCGTAATCACTCGATACTTTTGAACATCTTTATTTCAATTTTCTACGTCTGTTTTCATTTATTTATTTGTTTTGATGCTAATCTTTTATAAGTGCTTGTTCTTAAAAAATTACTCAGGTTTTAGTGACTTATAAGCTCTGACTTAAAGGTATGAACAGATACCGATCTACAACAAGGACCAGTTAGCCTACAAGCCAAATACATAGCGCAAGCACCAGATTGACGCGGTTTTGAGACTTGGCTATATTTTCAAATGGAAGAAGTACGTTCGCAAAAGACAACATCTTATACCAAGTCAATTATGTCGGACCCTGTAATCGCAAAAATATTACACAACCCATTGGAATGCCATTTTCAAGTAAATAAGGCCGGAAATCGGAAATCGAAAGCCAGCTCGTCCGAAGGACGATGAGAGCTATGGAGAGACTGCACACGTACCTGACGCATGACCGTTCTGCGCATCTCTGCATGAAGACGGGGCAGCCTGGAATTCAGTCAAAGATCATTCAAGAATTTGTCCAAAAGGAACTCACATTTGGAATATTTACCCTAATATTGTGGTGTTCATTTTAAATTAAAAGCTGATCAATGATAAGAAATAAACATCGATATCAATTTTTTTAAATATACCCCCAAGAGATTAGTTGGGAAGCATTTCTCACCTGACTGGGATGCCCAAGGTTCTTGGCGATTTGCCAGAACAATCCTGAACCGTTACGCATCGGACTCAATATTGGCGGCGGTGTGTAGGGATGAAGACCACGAGGTTGTGCACCGTCTGGCTCGACGAATCGTGGTGAACGAAGTTGACTGAAATGAATATGATCGATAATCGGTCTGTGAAACTGGAAAAGAGAAGAAGCAGTGTCGACGTCAGCAGAAAGACAGAAGAAATGAAACACAGCTGTGATGTGGCTGTGCCGATCACCACAGTGATTCAGTCATTAACAAGCAGATCGGTTTCAAAATGAAACCGTCCACTGACAGCATTCCTCGGATGCCGAAATTTATTGATTGATTTCGATTTTCTTTTCCATAAAATTTGCTTCACTAGTGCATTATGTCTTATTTCTTAATTAATCACAGTCCATTATGTATGATGTTGGAAATTGAAATTAACCGCAGAAGGCTATGACCGAGCTCCTACAGAGCAAATCAAAAAATTGATCAAGTAGAAAAATATCTAGAAGTTAAGGTATTTGCAAGGTATTTATAAGCCCACATCAACGGGAATGATTTTCAAGGACGGAAGGACGTCCAATCAGACTTAATAAGTAAAAATATGGAAAAGGAACAAAACAATCGCATTCGAGTTAAAGGCAGCGATTACGATGAGTGGGAGCGCATCGGGGAAGCATATGCACCACACGAATCAGTTACTTGGCTGCCAGGGAAGCGAGGTGTAGCGCTTTCACGACGAAAGGTGCGCTGGTTGCTGAGCAGGACTTCGAAAGCACTCCGCCCCCAAAAGCGATCCGCCCACTAGTTTAGTTGGTGATTTGGACGAGCTGCGTTGCCAGCAGCGGCACAACTGGAGCAACTCGATTGGAGCGTGGTTTGGCATGGTGTCACCAAACGCGTTGCGTGAACTCGTTCATACGTCCGCTTTCTGAGCTGTTACCTGTTCATGAGTGAAAACCAACGGCCAAAAAAGGGGTCCCGTTTTGCGTTTTCTTGACGGATTTCTCTGCTTTTTTCGCCACTGGCGTACCATTGAGCACCACCACGTCTCTCTAAACCCTCCTTGAACCTATCGTAATCGCTGCGATCGTTTGAAAAGAGTCAGTTGGAGCATTGCCATGCCATTTTGGTACACACGACCTGTACTGTTTTCAAAAAAAGCCAATGGGTGCACAGGCAACAACAGCCTTGAGCAAATTTCTGCAAGACTTGCAGTACATAGAAAGGATGGCATTGGCCTCGCCTAGAAGGAGCCCTCGTACAGTTCTGTCTGAAGGAAATCCTAGGGGTAACCTAAAAGCGACTACAGTACTGTAGTGTCCTATTCTTCACCACATCAATAATACGATGAATCTACAGTATGTATATCCGTTATCACAGCAACCTAGATGAAAAGTATAAGCACGTCTAGCTAAGCCAAGAAACACAATTTTTTGGCGGCCACTGATGACCGTTAAATAAAGCGGAAGATTGACGCAGCGGAGCCGAATCCGCTGCTACTGCTGCTGCAAATCAAGACGGAAAACAACGACTGGTGCACAGAATGAAGGTCATGCGATTAAAAGCCAAGATGCCCTCGACAGAGCGATGAATACTTCCGCGTTCCATTTACCAATCAATTTCAGAGAAGAAAATGAACAAGAATTGTGTGAGCGAAGATATGCGGTGATATGCACCACTTTTCGTTGTACATGGTCAGGTAAACATTGCAATACTTCCACGACTGTGAATGTGAGCGGCTTGCATGGCGCATCTCAAGATGGCTGAGCAATGTAGGCAGCTCATCTCACTGTTTCATGAAAAAGTTCCATTAATATATTGGCTGTGCAAAAATGTCATAAATACAGCTGATGATGTAATTTTCTAAGGGATGCGCCACGTGTTGGAATTCTACAAAAAGTCGAAACAATTTTGGCAGCGATTACGACAGCCCAGCAGAAACCAGCAATGCCCATAGACAAAATAACTGATGTTGTTAATTGAAAATAGAATATTTCCTAGTTCTGATCAATGCGATGGATTGGATCCCCTGTTGAATGGAACGAAGCTCGAATCTTTGAAATACCCAGCGACGCTGTGTGATCCAAGGAAGATTCCACGATAAGGTTGGCGAGGAAGGGAAAATATACCTACATAGTAGGTAGACCCGTGAGGGTGCTGGACGATGTGCATCATGATTCATTAAGCGGACGTGATAGGTGGGAAATCAGCGATGCTTCATTTCCACTGAGGAAAAGAAAAGATCTACGCGTTCAAAACAACATGTTTTCAATCACAAAATAGATGTCTACCACAGCTGGAATGCTTCACACTGACAAGTAATTAAAAAGAAGCTCAGCTCACAGACGCAGACTTCCTAGTCTGTTAAT